TCTTTCATCTGCAAAAGTTAATTACTTCAATATCCTCATAACCACACTCTCCCGCAAACCCAAACGACTATTTCGCACATTTAACTCTCTTCTTCGCCCTGCTGTTCCTCCTCCACTTACTAACTTGACCGGCTCAGACTTTGCAACTCACTTCACTGACAAGATCTCTACAATCAGAGAAGAGATATCTCATCTTTCTTCTTCCCCTTACAATACTTCCCCTAACTTCACTCCCTCTGCTGTTCTATGTTCATTCGCACCTGCTACATTGGAAGAGGTCTCTGCTCTGCTCCGGTCCTCCCACCCCACCACCTGCTCCCTAGATCCAATTCCCTCTCATCTCATCCGTACTCTGTCTTCTTCTCTTTCTCCACCTCTCACTAAAATTCTAAATCTCTCTCTCTCCTCTGGTATATTTCCATTGCCCTTCAAACATGCAACTGTAACCCCAATTCTAAAGAAGCCCAATCTTGACCCTAACTCCCCATCCAACTATCGTCCTATCTCGCTACTGCCTTTTGCATCCAAGATCCTTGAAAAAATTGTGTATGCGAGATTGACAGACTTCCTAGAGTCCAACTCTCTGCTAGACCCGCTTCAGTCTGGTTTCCGCGCTAAGCACTCTGTGGAAACGGCACTGACCAAAGTATCCAATGATCTACTCGCTGCAAAATCTCATGGTCACTACTCTATCCTAATTCTCCTTGACCTGTCTGCGGCTTTTGACACTGTTGATCATCAACAGCTTCTTCTCATCCTCCGCAATATCGGTCTACAAGATATTGCTCTCTCCTGGTGCTCCTCCTACCTCTCCCAGCGCTCTTTCAGTGTTTCTTTCTCTGGCTCTGCTTCTTCTCCCCAACTCCTCTCTGTTGGTGTCCCCAAGGTTCAGTCCTTGGTCCCCTACTGTTCTCCATCTATACTGCCTCCCTTGGTAAACTCATTAGCTCCTTTGGCTTCCAATATCATTTCTATGCAGATGACACACAAATCTACCTGTCCTCTCCTGATCTCTCCCCGTCCCCCTTGACTAGTGTCTCTGACTGCCTCTCTGCGGTTTCTAACTGGATGGCTGCCCACTTCCTTAAACTAAACTTGACCAAAACTGAAATTCTGGTCTTTCCTCCCTCAAATGTTGTTACTCCTGTGTCTGTCTCCCTCCAAGTCAACGGTGCTACCATCAGCTCCACCGTGCAGGCTCACTGCCTAGGTGTTCTCTTTGACTCCAACCTCTCCTTCAAGCCTCATGTTCAATCTATCACCAAATCCTGTCATTTCCATCTCAAAAACATTGTGCGCATCCGCCCCTTCTTAACTCCAGAAGCGACTAAGGTGTTGGTCCATTCCACTGTCCTTTCTCGCCTTGACTACTGTAATCCGCTTCTCAGTGCTCTTACATGCTCCCAACTTGCGCCGTTACAGTCCATAATGAATGCGGCGGCGAGGCGCATCTTCTCGTCCGCCCGCACCTCCCATGCCTCACCCTTCTGTCAGTCCCTATATAAAATATAGAGCTCAATTTAAAATTCTGGTTCTTACTTTCAAATTTCTACATAATGCTGCTCCCACCTATCTATCCTCCCTTATACACAAGTATGTCCCGTCTAGGCCCTTACGATCTGCTCAAGACTTACTTCTATCTTCTGTCCATACTCCCACCTCTGATGCACACCTTCAAGATTTCTCGACGGCTGCACCGTTCCTGTGGAACTCGCTTCCCTCCTCCGTTAGATGCTCACCCAGTATCCACTCCTTCAAAAAAATCGTTAAAAACCCACTTCTTCATAAAAGCGTATCAATTAAACTGTTAATAGCTCCTGACTGATTCCTCTTCTGTAACTGTCACTAGTCTAATACTATCCTTACCTTTTTGTGTCATTTTACCCCACTCCCTCTAGCATGTAAGCTCATTGAGCAGGGCCCTCAACCCCTCTGTTCCTGTGTGTCCAACTTGTCTGGTTACAACTACATGTCTGTTCGTCCACCCATTATAAAGCGTTGTGGAATTTGACGGCGCTCTATAAATATCATAATAATAATAATAATAATATGTCCATGTTGTGTTAAGCCCACCACTATGTCACAGTACCCCAATTTCAGTGGATCCTACACTAATTCCAATGTGGGAGACAAATTAAATTGTAATGATGCTAAATAAGCTAAAGTATATTTCAACAATCTGTTGTAAGAGCATTGTGGATATATATATATATGTATTAAGGCAGTTTTGCCTGTATTTGTGGGAGGGGCTTAAATTAATTCACTCCCCTATATAAGGGACACCCCTTACCTGACTCATATCGCTTGAGGTCAGCATCAGAATGATTTCCACTTCCGGGTCATCCAGACGCCATTTTACCTGATTACTCCATGAGGTTTTCTAAGCTGAGCTGTGTCAGGAATTCAGCCACAGGCTTTTCCGGCCTACCACCTTCTTTCTTCAATCTATCGCTGTGGATGGTGTCCAAGTGACTCACAAACCGTAAGTTGACCTACCCATTACGCCAGGCATCAGTCCCACGGCACCATGCAAGGGTCAGGTCCTCACTTTACTGCTGCATTTTGTCTAAGTCTGTTCTAAAACCATTGCATGTTCATGCATATCATTCGTTTAAACCCCCTACTGGTCTTTGGGTGTACTACAGACTTCTTAGACATTATCGCATTTCATGTACAAACCAACGAACCACTGCATCTTTGCCTACACACTGACCCCTACCGGTCATTCGGTGTACTACAGGCTTCTCAGACATTATTGCATTTCATGTACAAACCAACGAACCACCGCATTTTTCACCTACACACTGACCCCTATTGGTCATTCGGTGTACTACAGGCTTCTTAGGCGTTGTTTGCATTTTCATGTACAAACCAATAAACCACTGCATTTACACCTACACACTGACCCCTACTGGTCTTTCGGTGGACTACAGGCTTCTTAGACATTATCGCATTTCATGTACAAATCAACGAACCACTGCATTTGCACCTACACACTGACCCCTACCGGTCATTCTGTGTACTACAGGCTTCTCCGACATTATTGCATTTCAGGTACAAACCAACAAACCACTTAATTTTTCACCTACACACTGACCCCTATCAGTCATTCGGTGTACTACAGGCTTCTTAGACATTATTGCTTTTCATGTACAAAACAATAAACCACTGCATTTTCACCTACACACTGACACCTACCAGTCATTCTGTGTACTACAGGCTTCTCAGACATTATTGCATTTTATGTACAAACCAACAAACCACTGCATTTTTCACCTACATACTGACCCCTATCAGTCATTCGGTGTACTACAGGCTTCTTAGACATTATTGCTTTTCGTGTACAAAACAATAAACCACTGCATTTTTACCTACACACTTACACCTACCGGTCATTCAGTGTACTACAGGCTTCTCAGACATTATTGCATTTCATGTACAAACCAACGAACCACGGCATTTTCGCCTACATGCTGACCCCTACCGGTCAATCGGTATACTACAGTCTTCTCAGACTTTATTTCACTTCATAAGCAAACAAACTAACTACAGCATTTTCGCTTTTATACTGACTCCTATCTGTCATACGGTAGGATTAACCCCTTAGGGACACATGACATGTGTGTCATGTCATGATTCCCTTTTATTCCAGAAGTTTGGTCCTTAAGGGGTTAAAGGGTATTTTTACCATACAATCAGCATTTATGACCCCTACTGGTCAACAGCAAAACTGTCTTCACATGTCATATACATTTACCAGCCAATATAAATTACACATAAGATTGTTTTAACCCCTTTTATTCCAGAAGTTTGGTCCTTACGGGGTTAAACATAACCATAAACCATAAATGAAACTCCAGCACGGGCTCAAATTCAGGTTTAATTCACAATAATTTACATTTCACATCAAGACCAACAGTGGTTCTATCAACACTGCCACCTACAGGTCTGTCAAGTACATTGACAATTTTCATGGGGTTTTACAAACACCAAAACACTGACACCTATAGGTCAACAGACAAACAACATTTCACATACCAATCAGTATCCAACTACACTGCCACCTATAGGGCACTCGGCAGATCTCCAGTGCACTTGCATTTTGCAACACCATGTTCACTGACCCCTACCATTCAATAAGACATACAACAATTCACATAGCAAGCACTATATCAACATCAGGTATAAATACATATATTATTACACAGTAGCAGACGCGTCTGTATATACGTAACTGGTAATATAGTTCACATACATTTTTCACAGCACGCTGCTCACGCAACAGACTTTCCCCTAGCAAGGGGACATACAACATACAAGGTGGGGACAGACCACATTTTCACTTGTACATACGGCACTTAATGGGTTAAGATTGATACATATTTAACCAGTATGGCTACGATGTTTAATATTTACACATCATGGCACTTTACTTTTCACATATACTGTACGTATTAAGATAAGCTTGGTCTATGCCATATTTCCTTATGCCATACGGTTTTATCCATTCAGGTTACAGTTACTACTAAAAAACCTATACGGATTGTCAGGTTCAATACCATACTACCAGGTACATACACCTGCTCACGTAGTTATCCATCTCTTACCTTCCCTGGAATAGTAATAGTGTACTGGCAATTAGGGTTCTAGGGCCCAATAGGTATTACCCCCTTTTTTCTCTGCATTATGCTTCGGTTAGTGGTCCCGCGAGGCCAACACCCCGCCTCACACTCGGAGGCATACACCCCTCGGGCCACTCGTGAGCTAGCCGCCTCGCATTGTATCATAGAGAGGGCCTCACCTGTCACTCCCCTTCCTATTTTCTGGTTACTGTCACCGAGAGGCCAACATCCTGCCACAATGTTCGGTGGCCACACAAAATCCCCTCGCGCCAAGCATAGATAGAGCCTCTCAAGCCACTTGGCAACTAGCAGGGCCTCACCAGTCACCAAAAAACACCAAGCCTAATCATTTCGCCTTACGGCTTAGCTAACAAGCCAGTACAAGAACCCTGGGTACAAATAATTGCATCTTTATTGTTATTTAAGTATTTTTCCAAAAGATGGTGAAGAATCACCTCTTCCTAGCACCCCGGCTAGAATTGATACACCTTCAAGCAGAAGAGATGTGGCTAGTCCTGCAGCAATCAGATCCTGGACGATCCCACACATTACCACCGACCTAAGGAGGTGACAAATCCCCTACCCTGCTACAGCAAGGAAAGCAGAGTTATTCAAACTCCTCCATACATCAACGGACAACACGGAGGCAGGGGAAGGCCCAGCTACATCAACTCAGGTGACACCCAGGCTATGCTAGCCTCACTCATAAACTCATGAGCCAAAAAATTTTATGACAGACTGGCAATCTCGAGTTGGTCACCACAGCCCTCACAAGGCTGGGCCTCACGTTACTGTACAACCAGCACCAATCGAAACTCGGTTACCTGGTACATTCAATTCTTATGACACACAAGATGTTAACCCTGCACGTATGATCCCAGCACATTGGGGAAGCAAGGCATATATGTATGATGATGTATCTGTGATGGTAAATCGGGAACTGACCATCTCTTGGATGGGTTGGTATTTGGAATATGTAGAGATGTTTATTTGTGCAGGTACCCATACAGAAGGGGTTCTGTCCCAAACAAATGGACGAGCACTCTCAGGCTCCAGGTACCAGCACCTCTGAACTACCAGAGACGATTGATATGAGTAGTTGCATTGCATATAGACTGTTGCATATATGTTCAAATGGTTCAGGGCACATGACAAACCATGTGGCCCAATACAACTTACAAATAACGTACTCACCATCTGTACACACCAATGCATTTTCAACACTACTGACTCTTCACCCTTCCAGACTTGTAGTAGATTTACTAAAGCTCTGGAGCTTCAAAGGGCTCCCATACAGGTATCATAAACACACCTTCAAGGAATATAGCATGCCCTCACTTACAGTCAGCACAACAAAACCATTGGCTGAAAACACACTCATAGCCAAGATTTGCAGAGTGGTCTTCCAATCTCCACCATTTACAGCATGGCACCAAACACACACATTGGTATTGTCACAAGGAATCTTCCCTTAAACAAAGACTAACAATAGACTTATTGGCACCACACACCTCCGCTACCCCAAGTCTCAACTCCCTTCTTACTATACAACACCATTGATCTACCTTTACAGCTATCACTCAAGCATGGGTTAAAGCTTGGTTAAGTAAGACCAATATCATCAACGCAGTAAACAGCTACCATCTACCCTATACACTGGCACTTACATGGCATAAATTGGGCAATCCTTTCCCTGCTCAACTTTCGAGCTACAGATTAACCTACTATCGATATTCGCAGATACTCTGTGCTGGTTATGATAACATATCCAGAGGCATTACAGTCATACACTATCTAGAAGACTTCTTGTTGCTCAAAGAAAGCATATTTTTCACTAGAAGCCTCATGGCAGCTTAGTCTGGTTGACCACTTGGGCGTCCCAGTACCCCATAAGAAACAGAAGGCGCAGACACTATCATCACATTACTGGGCATATGACTTGAGTCGGCATCCATACACGCAAGTTACCACAAGACAAATAGGGAACATTCTCAACTAAATCAATCACTACCTCCTGCTTAGTACTTACAACTACAAGGAACTACAATCCCTACCAGGTTCCTTAATTTTGCCATGCCAATCATACCACAAGACCACGCTTTCACATCCAGAGTACTTTCCCCTTTTTTCCACACTTCCAACATGACGATCAGAGGAGGTGCCTAGACACCTCAGCAACAGCAGACCTGCACATGGGGGGGGATTTCTTAACCACTTGGCATGGTAAAAGCATGTTCCTTCCAGGATTGTCTGACACTTCTCCAACCAGATGGTCAGACGCAGCGTATACCACGGGTTTGGCAGCGATCTACCGGGAACAATTGCTTTGGGGCTGTTGGCCATGGCATCCAGGTTTGGAAATTTTTCCACCACTTCAGCCCCTTTGGGAGATCTACCCCATTGTAGCAGCTGCTGTGGCATGGGGTAAATCATGGTCAGGGTCATCAATCCGTTGTTACTCAGACAACTAAGCACATATCATATCATCAACAAACGCCACTACTCATCCATAAGTTCATGATGTTTCTGGGGAACTCACTTGGTTGGCCACTTATCACATTTCACTTTCATGTACCAGACGGGGGTATACATCCCTGCCGACAACTGTCTCATTTATATTCCAGGCATGTTCATCATACGCTTCCTACAGCCGCCCATACAGTCACGTCCACTCTTTCGTTCCAGAGACAAAATCATGGATTAGACATACTCATGCAGCATAGCATGCACTATCCCACCTAGCACTTTCGTCCCATACTTGTAGAACGCATAACACAGCTTTTCACCTGGCTTAAAGAATCTCATTGGAACACGACATAGCTCAACCTGTGTCACAAAATTTATCCTAGGTTTTGCTTATTTTTGCCACCTTAAACTATCTCATACACCATTAATTATATATTTTACAGGCATTCAACAACACATGATAACCTATGGCCAAAACTACCATAAACTTCATGCTATCATACCAGAAAGAATATACTCAGAGGTTTTCAGGAATCCATTCCCCCACGTTCCTCTCAGAGATTACCAATAGCCATCCAACTGTTCATCCTTATCGGACCTATTAGATCTACAACCATTCAATTATACTACCAAGTCGGCCATTACCAGCCATGCACATTGCCTTTTATGCCTTTCTCAGGCCAGAGAATCCACTACCATCACCACCACTCAGACAGATCATTGTCTTCAACGATCCCACGTACGTAAACACATATATCATTACCTATTGGCTCTACCACATTCCGAAATGAGTCAACATGCACCAACAGTAGAGATAACATACTATCCTACCCACAACAAATGGTGCCCACTTTCGGTCCTAGATTCCTACCTTCAAAATCCTTTCAGGAATTAAATACTGTTATGCATTTAAGGAAATGTCTGGTTAATTTGTATATATTTGTTGACTGTATTAAATCTTTGATTATTCATTTTTGCCCTCTTTATTTACAGGCCTACCGTATCGTCGGGTAAGGGGTGTCCCTTATATAGGGGAGTGAATTAATTTAAGCCCCTCCCACAAATACAGGCAAAACTGCCTTAATACACCACAACCGACTTGCTCCCTTTACACTATCCTAAGCTTATGCTGGATCCTTACTCCATATACGGCTATTTTGCCCCTTACACAAGTATTAAGGCAGTTTTGCCTGTATTTGTGGGAGGGGCTTAAATTAATTCACTCCCCTATATAAGGGACACCCCTTACCTGACTCATATCGCTTGAGGTCAGCATCAGAATGACCCTCCCACCCACTCCTCATTTCAACACTTTCTCTTTTCTTTCCATTTACTTTACTTTCTTACTCCTTGGTGGGCCCTCTTTATTTACAGGCCTACCGTATCGTCGGTATCGGCACACCACAACCGACTTGCTCCCTTTACACTATCCTAAGCTTATGCTGGATCCTTACTCCATATACGGCTATTTTGCCCCTTACACAAATATATATATATATATATACAAGGCAAAATTAATATGATAAACACAATTCAAATAAATGCAGTGTCAAAACTAAATAATTAAAGTGATAGTGCTTTGATGTATATATTCACAATGCATATCATATATTGTCTCTATGAAAATTATAATTAAAATGATATTACTATTTAAAACCTCCTCAAATTTATACCTTCCTTTGGTCACCTCCAAAGGAGCCTCAGAAGCTAGGGGCTGGGACGGGGTGCTCAACCCAAAATAATTTGGGTCTGGATATTAAACCTGCATAGTAAATACATCAGACTCAGAGGTGAGAGACAGTGCCTCAGAGTTTGACACAGGTTAATGCGGCAATTAATTTGTGACTGCTTCTGCGGGGCCCACAGCTGAAAGACATGCTCTCCTTAGTATTGCCTGTGACGCAGATGAAGATGACTGAGTACACCCTGATAATTGTTTGACAAGTATTCCCCCTTTCACAGCAAATAGTATGCATGTGTTCATAATTTGAATTGATGAGCTGCTTATATGTAAAAATAGAAGTGGTCTTTTAGAGGTAACTTGCAATTATGAGCTGCTAAAATGCTCTAAAATGAGACATGTGCCCAGCATTGACTTTTGAAAAATATGAAATTGGTGTGTCTTAAACTTTCATTTTCAACATCCACATGTATCCTGGGGTATCCCCTTTAAAAAATAATAGGCCGTTGTGGGAAAGTTTGAATTGGCATGGGTCCAGCATAAAAATTAGAAGTTTGAAAAAAAGAGATATGTCTCAAATTTGACCCTTCAACATACATTACACATATACCTGGAAAAAGTACACATTAGGACATTGCTGTACTCAGAATACATAGTTGAGCAATATGATAGAAACATTTAAATATATAAAGGGAATCAACACAGTAAAGGAGGAGACTATATTTAAAAGAAGAAAAACTACCACAACAAGAGGACATAGTCTTAAATTAGGAAGTATTACTTTACTGAGAGGGTAGTGGATGCATGGAATAGCTTTCCAGCTGAAGTGGTAGAGGTTAACAAAGTAAAGGAGTTTAAGCATGCGTGGGATAGGCATAAGGCTATCCTAACTATAAGATAAGACTAGGGACTAATGAAAGTATTTAGAAAATTGGGCAGACTAGATGGGCCGAATGGTTCTTATCTGCCGTCACATTCTATGTTTTCTATGTTTTCTATGTTATATCAAGTGTTGTACTGCCGTAGCACATATAATGATTGCAAAATATACAGTAAAAATAGTATGTGTCAAAAAGGCAAAAAAAAATCCAGATTATTACATTTGGAGCAAATTAGAAAAAAACTAAGGTTCAAAATATGCCTTTGAAATACCCTTGGGTGTCTTCTTTAAGAAATGGTAGGCTTGTTCGGGGTAGTTTGAATTAGCAACCTGCTAAAATGATCCAAAATTAAACACGGGCCCATTAATGCCATCTATGAAAAGTCACACTTACAAACGTGAAATGATCACATCTTTTATACAGCACTGTAACTACACAAATAGTGTCTAGGTAATACATTGGGTATATTGTTTTACTCAAATGTAACTGAGCATTTTTATCACAGTGGCACATATCAAATGCACAAAATATTCAGCAAATATGTATTTTAAAAAGGCCAATCTTTTTAAATTTTTACCACAAACTTTCACGTGAACTGGTTAAAAAACAAATGGTGGTACAATACACACCATA